CCAAATGCTCCCTGTTTATCTCAAGAAATGCCAGCGGTTTTCTTTTTCTTTCTTTCTTTTTTCCAGTCCCTTTCTGCCTGCTATAAAATGCATAGAGAGTAGTGACAAGCGATGAAGGGCTGACACACAGGGGAAAAAACCTTCATTTTTAAAGAATTCAATAAAGCTGCTTCTGCTACGCTCCCCATTTGAGTGGAGCTGAGCAGAGCACCGGGCAAAGACACATGGCCTGGGCAGGGTGGGGTAGACTGGGATGAAGGAGATCCATGCAGGGTGGGCAGCAGGGGAGAGGGTCAGGCTTAGGGTAGCAGCTGGGAGGAAAGGAGACAAGCATTCAGAGCACACGTGGTTAAACCAGGGAAGAGAGGTCCCTGTGCAGACGCTCCACCCGGACTCTCTGCCACTGCTCTGGGACCCATGGGGTGGGGACTGCATGGTCAAAAGGAGGGCCCAGCTGGACTGTGCCCCCCACCCCGTGCTGTCTGTCCCTCTGGCCCAAGTCTGGGTTGCTGAGGAGGTCTAAGGGGAACACTGTCCCCAGAGCCTGCATCCCATGGCGATAATCTAGGGGCAGGTATAGGGTAGCTTGTCAGCTCAGCATGCTGCAGCCTGGGTGAGGCCACAGTCACATTAGTCCCCCTGCTCCAGGATCCTGACCCCCCACACACACACACATACCCTGCAATGTCCTTGCTGCTTGGCTCTGTCTCCTCTTCTGAATCTAACACAGGTCTGGCTCCAGTTGGGTCCCAGCAAGGGGTGGTACACAGGTTGCTCAGAGACCACCAGCTGTTCCAGGGCACACAGCAATGTGATGGACCCAGCCACTGTCTGGCTTCTGTCTGCTCTGTGCTGCAGGCTGAGTGGGGCATCCAGAGAAGCTTCTGCAAGTTCTTTTTTAGTTGGAAACAAGTCAGTGGACGTTCACCGTTATTGGTGGTGGTTCTGGCAGAAGGGAGTCGGCAGGAAGGTGCAGGCTACCAACAGGACAGTACTTAAACTCAACTCCCAGCAGGGACTCCTGGTTTCCTAGTTAGTGTCTCTACCAGCATGATGGCTCTAATAGTCCCTGGACACAGGGTGGGAGAGGGGCAAAGGTGCTGGCCCCTGTGTCCCCCAGGACCCTCCTCACTCCCACCCTGCTGGGGCTGAAAGACTGATGTGTGGGGCTGTCCCCTTCTGCACCCACTTCTGTGGGCTCCAGAGGCAGCAGAGGAGGCAGAAGGCAGGAGAGAGGTCAGGGGCTTATCCTCTGTGGGGAGGGGCTGTGTGGCTCCTTTCTCTCTGTCCCCAGCTCCATGGGCAGCTTTTCCCATGCTGAGACCTTGACCAGTATTCCACAGAGTATTTTGGTTTTCTTTGAATTTTAATGGGACTCCTGGTGAGTTTGAGCAGCAGAGAAGTTGAATCCAGTTCAGCTTCTCAGAACCATAGTAGCCGCTTGGTTGTTATGGAGGAGGGAGGCTAGAAGGACACATGAGCAGTGGGCACGTTGGGAGCTACTGTAGGGACCAAGCGTTTGGATGTAGTTTGGCTCAATACGAAGGCTGAGACCATGAGGTCAAAGCCAGGCGGGACCAAGAGCCAGGGAAACTGGACCTGCAGAAAGACTCAAGAGTCAGGGCTGAGAGCTCTGCTGAGGTTGAAGCAAGGTTGAGGGCTCAGGGAGGAGAGGGCTCCCCTGGCTACAGCAAGCTCGCTAGGACATAGGAGGGAAGGATGTGGTGGGGTCAGCAGTGGAAGCAGCAGCTGCTCTAGGAGTGGGCAAGAACTGCCTTGGTCAGGAATATTAGAAACCAAAATGCTGCAGTTCTGAGCAGTCTCTGCCAGGCAGGAGACCCCGGCGCTAAGCTGGCAGCCATAATCCCAGCTTTCTGTGCATCTCTCTGCCTTGGCAGAGGCGCTCTCTGTTAGTGTGGAGGGGAGTAGGGCAGATCAAGGTAGACTTCCTGAGGAGCAGGGTCTAGCTGCAGGGGCTGGCACTGCCCTGAATCCTCCTTCAAGCTCTAGCGGGGGCAGGAATTGGGTGTGTTGGAACCACGCCACTTTCTGGTGTGGAAGCCAAGAAGTTCCTCCCATGTGTTTTCCAGATTGGCCACTTTTGAGTAGAGGAGGGATTAGCTGAGGGATGCTGGGCAAGTCACCTCTCTGAGCCTTAGTTTTCTCACCTGGGAAGTGGGGGAATACCTGAAACCCCAACGAAATGACAGTGCTGAAGCCAAGTGCTATGCTTGGTATCACAAAGGGGTGAGCCCTGTGGGCTCAGCACTGAAATTCTCCTAGAACTCAGAACCCACACCATTCTGCCCTCAACATTCTGACAGTTACCTCTGTTCCCCCACTGGAACTATCAGGACATGGAGAAGGCACCCACCAGGGCCCTTTTCAGCTTGTTCAGTGTGGGGCCTTATTTCTTTGCTGATCAACAGCCTCACAGCCTGAAGCTCTAACCACTGCACCTCCAGCCTCCTGAGCCTGGTGAGGCCATTCAGGAGATGCCGAAGCCTCCCCTGCAGACCCCTGGGGCTGCAGTGGGAAAGAAGACCTGCTGCTGATTGAGGACCTGTGGCACCTGAGTCCGGGCTCACAGCAGCCCAGGTGCCCTCTGCCCTTGGAGATCCTGTGTGAGCGGGAGGGAGGCAGAAGCCCTAAGGACGCAGGCTGGACGTGCCAGGCAGCCCGGAATGCACAGCACCTACCTGGGGACCCAGAAATAGACCTGCTGTGTGCATGTGAGTGTGGAACAGTGGCTGCTCTCCCTCCAGCCTGCCAGCACCAGGGAATAATTAGAGTCCTTTAAAAGCCCTCATTATTTCTCCCAGGACCGGGTGCCCTTTGGAAAAATGGATGTTTCCTGCCAGATTGTTCCCCGAAGAGGCCTCTGTCACAGGCTATTGTGTAAATCTGTGTTTGGCCCATATTTCTAAAAATGTAATTTATCCACTTGCCTGGTCTTAACACTCTTCTCCAAACCCTAAAAATGTTGCTGTTATTAGGAGTCCAGAAGGGAACCATAAAACATCAGAGAAGAGTGGACGGCGAAGAGAGCCTGTGGGTTCTGAACTCCTGGTGTTGCCTGGAGAGTGATCGCGGCTGCCAGGCAGCAGGAGCTGAGGGAGGTCCCCATGCTGGGAGAGTGGTGGGGAGAAAGTAAGCAAGGTAGGGTTACGGGGTGGGAGACGGCCAATGACCACATTAGACTGTGGGGCCAGGGAAGGTCTGTCTGAGACCTGAAGGGCAAGGACACACAATGACACCAAGGGAGGGAATGACCCCTGGTGGGGCAGGCATTCTGGGTCAGAGCCCTGGCAGGCCAGCTTGCCTTGGGGGCCCTATGGACAAGCAGTGGCCTCCATTGGTTAGGACCAGGAAAGCTGTCAGCAAGAGGTGACACCTCAGCTATTGGTGATTGCTGAGAACCTCACTTGGCGGGCAGAGTGAAGGCTTTCCAGACCAGAGATGGACAGAAAGGCCCAGACCAGAGCAGGCACAAACCATGTTGGAACAACCAGAGGTGCAGCCAGAGTTTCCATGCAAGGGTGTGAGGCTGCAAGTGTCCTGGGGGTCCAAGGTGATGGCCTCTCCCCTGGGGCAAGAAGATCACTGTTTAAGCAGCAGGGCAGTCATAGTCTTGCAGGCATGAGGTCCTCTACCCTGTGGCCCTTCCAGCTTTAAAAGCTACAAAGCCAGCAAATCCAGACTCTTTTCCTTGAATCAAAGTCAATAGACTCATTTGACTGGCTGCATCTGTCCTTGTCACAGCCAATCAGAAGAGGGAAAGCCTCCGTTTCCAGAAGACTGAGCACAAAAGGCACAATGTGTCCTGACTGGGTCCCATCCATGGTCCTGTGCAGAGTTGGAGAAGGTCACAGAGGCCAGAGCTAGTTGTAGAGATCAAGCCTTTCCACTCAGCACCTGGGAAGTGCCAGCAGCACCCAGACCACATCTTGCTTCTGTTCTGAATCTTCACCCAGCATGCTTGGAAGTAGTCCCCAAAGACCAGCCCCAAATAAGCAGCCCAAACCGGGTCAACCTTCTTCCATTCCTATTTTAGATCAGCCCAGCCAGTCTCCCCTCAGGGAGCTGCAGGCTGTTATTTCCCTGCTTACTAAATCAGTTGGACCCTGAGATTCTCACAGCAGGTGATTGCAGGAAAAGTTTTCTGGAATTTCAGGCCTTTTGATGGCAAGTTTGCCTAGTAAATAATTGAGACACCCAGGCTTCCTGAGAACTAGGAAGTGGAGGAAGTGCCCCAGTTCCTCCAGAAAAGCAGAGCTTTGGGGTGAAGAAGAGATTTTACTGAGATGCACTGGGAAGGGTCCTGGGCTGAGGTGGAAGGGTCTGGGGGCCAGGGGGCAGGTACAGGGAGGCACCCCTTCAAGAAGTATGCACTCTGCCCCAGATGCTGTGGCCCACAATGGGTGCCGAGCACTGCAGTTTGAGAATCTAATTCCACCTCAAACCACCTAGTGTAGAGGATAGACCCCCTCGGAGCAGGCTCATTGGACGGATGAGCAAGCTGAGGCCGAGGGAGGCCAATCTCTGCTGTGCACCTGGACTCCAGCTCTTTCCTTCTCTCCTCTCAATAGAGGCAGAGGCAGGATGGCCAGCGAGGCCTCACCACTGCTTCCCCTGAGTAGGAGCAGGAGGGTCATAGGTGGGTCACCTGGGCGACTGATGAGGAGGGACACAGCACCAAGGCTCTTGGCCATGAGACTTGTCCAGGTGTAGAGTTGGCCTTGGAGCCCCCTTGGGATCAATTTCCTCCTGTCCACCAGGCTTCAGGAAGAGGATCCATGGCCTGGGGACCTTGCAGGGTGAAGTGAGGTCTTTGACATCCTCATCACTAACTTGTCATCCCCTATTCAGGGCTCTGTGCTTCTGCTGGGCAGCTCTGACACATGCAGTGGAAAACTAGGCAACATTGCCACAATTCAAAATGCCTGTGTTCATGTAAAATGGCAGGGGAGACTTGTATGTCAGGAAATGTAAACAGGAGATCAGAGGAAAATTTTAAACATATAAACACATCAATGCATTTAAGCAATGTTTGGTGGAGATTATTCTTGGTGGTGGGTGGAATTACAGGTGGTTTTTCTTTTCCTTTTTATCTCCTATCCACGAGTGATCTTGGTGGTCAAGTCAAGTCATCTGTGAGAAGGTCAAAGGACCTCTGCGCACTGTGGAAACAGCATTAGTTCTCCACTAACTTCAAAACACATGCTTAGAATACATATAAAAGGGAAACTATAATTTCCTTAATTCTATTATCCACACAGAGCCTGTTAAATTTTTGCTGCTTTTCCTTGCAGTATACATACCCATTTACACACTTAAATCTACAAAAGTATATATTTATATACCCAAAATAGTATCATACTTTGAAATTTGTATCCTGCCCTTTTAACTTCATCTCATTTTGTGAGATTTCACTTCTATTATTTCACTTCTATTATTAAATGTTCTTTAAGAACAAGCTCTTCATAGCTGTACAATAATTTAAAGATGTAGCATTATTTACCTAGACAATCTGCTGTGGTTAGATATTTAGGCTCTTTGAGATTTCATTCCACTATAAACAATACAGTAATGAGCATCATGGAATGCAGTAATAGCTGACATTTTTTGAGCTTTCCCCATATGCCCGGCTCTGTGAGGAGTACTTTCTACACACGACCGCATGTGAGTCTCAAGCTGCCTTTTCTGGAAGGTACAAGTGCTATCCCCATTTTATAGAGGAGGAGACCATGGCTCAGAGACATTGAGAACTTGCTGAGAGAGGGTCATGCAGCAGTTGTTTAGTTGGCAGAGCCAAGGCTAAAAATCCAGATGCAATTGATTATCAAGCCCCAGTCTTAACCATTCTGCAACCTCCCTCTCTGTGTCCCACCCTCATGATTCCTTCGGGATTTATTTCTAGAAGCAGAGCTAGTGATTGCACACATTCTGAGGCTCTCAAGACACACTGCCAACACACCTTCCAGAAAAGAGGTGTTAATTTAAACGGCCACCAGCAGTCGCTCGCCCACAGTGTTAGCAGCATGCTGGGTCCTGTTGCAGGTGTGAGGCTGCAGTAAAGGAGTTAGGAAAAGTTACTTACAGTACATGCATTCAGTGGAAAAGTAGGCAATAATTCCACAATCCACAGTGATTGTATGACTATAAAATGGCATGGGAGCTTGTATGGCAGTCAGTAAAGACAGAAGATCATGGGTGGAAATGGGAACATATAAGCACATACATGCATATAACCAATGTTTGGCAGAAGTTAATTTTGGTGGTGGGATTATGGGTGGTTTTTATCTTTTTATCTGTCTGCATTATCTACAATGATTATATACAATCTTTTTAAAAAGAAAAAAATATAAGACGCAATGATGGAAACCTCTGACCCACGTGGCCTGCCCGCCGCTGACAGGATTGGGGAAGGCGTTAGGTGCTACAATGGGCATCTTCCACATTCAGATAAATGACAGAGCAGAGGGCACTGCCGCGGCTGAGAAGGGTCCCCACTTTAGGCAGGAATATCTTAGCTGTCCTGTCAGAAGAGGTGGCCTTGAGCTCAGGTCTGAGTGACCAGGAAAGAACAATTGCAGGGGTGGTTACAGGTAGGGAACATGGTAAATGGGAAGTTCCCAAGGCAGGGCTGAGCTCAGCATCAGCGGAGCTGGAAGAAGCCTGCTATGTGAAGCACAGTGAATGAGAAGACAGAGCTGGAAGATGGGGTGGGGGTAACAAGGCGGGGTCAGGGAGGCCTCTGGCCCTGAGGAATGGGTTAAGGTTCATTCCAAAGGCCGGAGGAAGATTCTAAAGGCAGCAGATCCAAGGGTCACAGTTCTAGAAATTATACTCTTTGGGACACCTTGTTTTAAGAAAAGCATGGAGCCAACCGTGGGGGTGCACACCTGTAATCCCAGCACTCAGGGAAGTTGAGGCAGGAGGATTCCAAGTTTGAGCCTAATTTGGATAATTCAGTGACTTAGCAAGACCTGGTCGCTAAAATTAAAAAAATAAAAAGCTCAGTGTGAAGGCCCTGGGTTCAATTCCCAGTATGACCCAAAAAATGTGGAATTAAATGCAAATTAACTATGCAAATTAATATGAATTTACAATAAGAAAAGCAACCACAATAAACTGCAAATTTCAAAAAGCTGACAATTACCAAAAGCAGCCCAAAACTGAAGAAAATCACACTACATTTATTACTAAGCTTCCTAACACCCTTCCTGGCTATGTCCTCTAAGCCGTTAGGGCTCTATCTTCCTTACATGGAAGAGAACAGAAAGCCAGCTCAGGCTTTTCCCAGCTCAGTCTCGTGAAAACAGTTTTCTACTATTGATCTGGAAGTTTCTTTGACCTTCACACTTCCTTCTGGATAATGTCATGTGAATTTTCAAGGTTGTTCAATTTGGGAAATCCCTTGCCACAGTTCTTTTATCTATGAACTGTGTTTCTTTGTGGTTCCTAATCCAAATTAATCTTTTGAATTGACAAGGCTCATTAGACACAAGGGTTTGGAAGGGGCTCTGGGGCGTGGATGCCCTGAACAGCAAGCTTCCTTAGCCTCTAAGAAAGCACTTGTGCCTGCCAGAAGGTTCTCAGGGGCAGGGACGTGGTCTAATCGGTGGGCTGCTGAGCAGAGAAGGGTGGCCGGGGCAGGGAGAAGGGAGCACAGGGACTCCACGGAGGGACCAGAAGAGAAGTGTCTGCTGGGAGGTGAGGACATATGGACAGACTGCGTGGCAGGGTTGGTCCTGACCTGGGTAGAGGTGAGGGGGTCTTGGGGATGACCTGGATCAGGCTTGGTGCCGATGTCTCTCTTTCTCCATCTTCTGAGGTCTGGGCACATCCCCTGCCAACAGAACTGGAGCCCTGGCCCCACCATGGGTGCACACAAGCCTGGATTCAAGGGCCCTAGGTTGCTGCCTGACTCTACATTCAATGAGGGGCTGAGAAGACGGGCACAGGCTGGTCTCGGATGGGCTCAGCCTGGACAACCAGGCTGCAGTAGAGGAGGAGGGGTGATGTCACTGGCACTCAGGTACCAGGGCACCCCATGGGAATACCTGCTCCATTAGCTGCTGGCTGATGTCTTGTGGCTGAGGCTTTGGAAATGGACTTGTTGTCAGTGGCCTCTCACTGTTAGGCCAGAGCAGAAGGGTCTTTTCACCAGACTCTCCTGCTGCACAGATCATGGGGGAAAAACAGCTCTGGAAGTAAGCCCAGAGCCTTAGCATTGGGCCGAAGTCAGTGCCCACAGTGGGCTCTGGAAGCCTTGAAGCCACTACTCCTTCCACTCTTGGGATCCTCGGCCAAACCAACTGGTACCTGCACCTCACCTGCCAGAAGCATCAACACCAGCTGGACCTGGCGTGAGGCAGCACAGGACCCATGATGTGTGGGACTCTGAGCTGGGGGAGATGGATCTGAGTCACATGGGGGATGTTCTTTTTGTTCTGATTTAGGATGGAAACTCACTGAGGATAGTAAGAAAAGGAATGGAGCTGGGTGGGGTGGCCCATGCCTATAATCCCAGCACTAAGCTAAGGCAGGAGGATCACTGTGAATTTGAGGACAGCCTGGGCTACATAGAAAGTTCAAGACCAGCCTGAACTGCATCGCAAGACCCTGTCTCAAAAAAAAGAAAAAAAATGAATGGAAAATTAAAAGAAAAAGCTCTATCTTCAATCATCCAGGTAAGGCCAAGGACTGGGTGTGGATAGGGAATACATGGGGTGGGGGTGATTCTGGGGTTTCAAATTGGGAGGTGACTGCCTGGGGCTGTACTAGGGCCTCCCCAAACTCATAAGTGGATGTCCTAAGCAGGATATATCAGAATGTGACCTTGTTTGGAGATAAAGTCTTCACAGAGGTAATCAAGTTAAATTGAGGCATTAGAATGGGCTTTAATCAAGTATGGCCTGTGGTCTTAACAAGGGGAAATGTGAGCATCAAAGCAGAGATCAGGATGAAGTACATACAGGCAAAGGACCTAAGATGGCCAGAAACCACAGGAAGAGGAAAGAGACATGGAACAGATCTTCTCTGCACAGAGAGACCAATACTGCCAAAACCTTGATCTTGGAAATCCAGCCTCCTAAGCTGTGAGGCAATAAATTCTTATTATGCAAGCCACTCAGTCAATGGTGCTTTGTCATGGCAACCCTGGCAAACTAACATGGTGTCTGTCTTAGTCCACTGGGTCTGTCCTGTAGAACACCATAGGCCAGGTGGCTTATAAATGACAGAAGTTTATTTCTTACAATTCTGGAAAGCAGGAAGTCTAAGAGCAAGCCTCCAGCAGGTTCTGTGTCTTGTGAGGGTCACTTCCTGACTTATAGACAGTGGTCTTCTCCCCTGTCCTCACATGGCAGAAGGGGCAAAGGAGCTCTCTGCAGCCTCTTTTATTAGCACCAGTCATACGAATTTCAGGGGATGCAAACCATTGGCTAGTGGTGACATTGAATGAAAGACTTGAGGGAGGTAGGGAGGTTGGGCAGGTGGATCCTGGGGAAGAACATTCTAGGTTAAAGGAGAAGCTAATGCAGAAGAGAACAGCAGAGCAGACAGCAATGGATGGAGGTACCAGGTAATGGCAGGTGCAGGCCATGTGGGCCTGCTGGACCACTCACGATGGATTTCTCATGGCATGGAAGAGAGAGCACATAGGGCATGCGCCCGGCTTTGGTGCGAGGCTGCTCTGCCTGCGGTGTTAAGCAGGGCAGCGGGGTGAGGGTAGGGGTAGAAACCATGTGTAGGCTCTTGCAGTGGTGCAGATGGGCACTGAGGGTGGCTCAGCGCAGGTGGTGAGAGTGACCTGAGTTGAGACAGGAGTCAGGGATGACAGGGTATGAGTTTGAGAGAAACAGGAGCCAGGCATAACAGCAGAACTGTCAGCATGGACTTGTCATTTGCTAGACAAGAAAGATAAAACCTAAGGTTTGCTGCCTCAAAAGGATGTCAGTGACCTTTTGATTGGAGAGAAGAGAGGCAAAATGGCAGCAGGGCACAAGGAACTCAGTTTCCCAATTCAGCACGGCAGGGGTGCTAAGTAGCCAGGTCCCACACCAGGCTAGTGAATCATGTACATTCTCCTTGCTTGGTCTGCTGATGACAGTCCAGTGGGAAAGGCACCTACAGGAGGGAGACCGGAGAGTCTCTGGGTTTCAGCTCACAGAGG